CAAGGGCTCCCAGCCTCGGCACCGACCGGGCAAAATGCCCTGCGACTCCCCCTTGTCTTGTACCACGCTGACTTGGCGGGCTTTGAAACAATTTTTCAGGAGGGTTGTTACAAGACGTATGGGCATCGCTGGGGGACAGTTGGGAAGAAGAAGGCACCTCCCCTCTGTCCTGTCCGAGGCTCACTCCCGGTAGCTGGGTACGAGATTCTCCCAGCTGCAAAATCCCCCTTGCACAGCCCTAGGGGCGCGCATGCTGAAGAAGCTGCCTGTACAACATATACGAGTTTAGTGCCACGTTTTAAAGCGCTTCACAAAACCTTTCTTACATCAGAAATAGTATTTTGGCTGCCTGAAGCTGCAGTTCGGTTGTCTGGTTGGTTGCCGCTTTCGGCAGCCTTAGCAAGGCGTCTGATCTCAGCGAGCTCGTTCCAGTCCTTGCACCCTTCAGTGAAGCGTAAGGAAAGGAGGAAAGAGATTTGTGCAGGATTTTGTGGAGACTAAGAAGAGCCTCTGCAGGTTGGAGACAATTGCATGTCTAACTAAAGAGAGTTCAATTTGAAACTGTTTGTCAGCATCTCTGTGTACATCTCCTAGATGTTCTTTTTTCTTAAATCATTCTGGATGCTAAATCTTGAATATAAACATGCTTTGTTACAGAAGCAACCTGCTCACCTACATTATTTACAAACCCATATGGGAAAACACTAAAACCCACGATTTTTTTTCCAAAATTGGTGATCTGATTTATTTAATCTTTCCAGCATCTCCTGCTAACATACCCTTGCACTGCTGGAGCAGACAGCCTTTTCTTGTCCTCATTTAACTTCCTTTTCATATCTCCATCTTTGTTTACAAGACTTCTCTATTAATCACCTTTCCCATTTAATCATTCTTGATCAGTTTCCTCATTTATGTCACAGTGATTTTCTTTCCCATTTTAAATTACAGTATTTTTGGAATAAAGCCATCAAAGTCACTTCTAAACTGTGCAAGGATACCTGGAGGCTGATTGCACTCCATCTGGAAGACTGGTCTTTCCAAGTTCACACTTTTCCAGACTGTGTTGTGCAACATGATTCATTTTTAAACACCATGGCTGATTCGTCTCCCAAAGATAAAAGCATGAACACTGAATTCAATATTATATTCTGAGCCCTGGGGATTTAAACAGTCTTTTCAGTTTTCAAGTTTGCATTTCCTCAATTTCCAATTCAGCAATCCAAAAGTGAACAATGTTTTGCTAAATGCAATATTCATTCAGAAACTCTTGCCAATTAGCACAGCATTAACTTTAATCTCAAAATGCTTTTTTACTTGCAAGGTTCCAGATAAGTCTCAAAGGCTTCTATGCTGATCCAGATGATCAATAAATATATTGTGACTACAGTGAGATATGTTTGCTCCATCTTTAACAGCTCCATAAGATGTTTGGTACTAGTGGCATCTCCACTGCCACCACTTTCTTCAGCTCCAGAAGTTTTAGTAACAGCAATTTAATTTCTGAAATGTTTGATGTTACTATATACAAACCCATTATATACAGAACTTAGGGCAGATGCTGATACTCAAAGCACATTAATCTTTAATATTGCACAAAATGAGTCCACATGACAAAGAATCTAAGCTGCTTCTGGCTGCAACCAGCTAAATTTACCACCCTTTTTTGTTTCTAGTATTTTTTTCAGATATTTGAGGAATTAAACCCAGCATATGCTGTGGAATAGGTCTGCTTTAATTAATGAAAATTAAAGGAAAACACATTTTCACATAAATTTATGTGAGGATTAAGATAATACTGTATTAAATACTAAGACTGTATCAGATATCTTGGCAAATTAACTGTAATTTGAATGAAGATCAACTACCAAGGTTAATTTAGACTGCAACAAGAGAAAACATCTGTAAATATAATAAACTTCTGCCCTTTAAGTGGCCTCTGCTAATTAAGCTATGAAAGAAATTCCTTACTGAACTCTATGGAATACATTATACAAGATTATGTAAGCTGCTGCTAATGTGTCTGGCCTTTTTTTTTCCTGGGTAGCAGAAATACTCCTTGTCCTATGGAAAGTTCACTTTTGTACAAAGCAGGAAAAGATGAATCCTCCAGACTGCCTATTACTCATTTTATTGTATTCTGCACTTCCACTCCATTTCATCCCAACAGATATCAACAATTACATGAATTAGCCAGTCACCAGTCACTGTTTTAATTATTAGTCAGATGTAACATTTCCATCAATGACTGATAATGTTCGGACTTTTTTTTTTTTTTTTTCTAATTTGGAATACCATTTATAAAGTAAAAAGGCTGGATAACTTTTAACCATCATCAGGATGATTTTTAACAACTGAAAGACTTTAAAGACTATTATTTTACATGTGGGATAAATCATGAGAGGTGGTCACAATTATGGCATCAAAAAGTCCTTTAATTAATAAGCTTTTGAGACACACTGCAGGATTGTATGTTTCAATTCATATAATACTTTATTGAATCAATGAGAATTTTGTTATGATTTTGCAGGTACTTTTGCAAATCCCATTAACTTTCTGTTTATGTTGTTCAGCAACTAAAGCAGCCTCAGAAGTCTGCCCCATCAGGCCTGCTTTTCTTTTTATGGAGTCTGGTGGAAATTTGCCCACTAACTGAGGCAAGTCTGGGATGAATAGAAAGAATAGCTGTCTCAGTGTGAGCCACTCATTGGATGCATGAGTTCAATTAAAGTCAGAAAATAGTCCTCTGTGTTACAGAAGTCACTATAGAAACATTACCAATGGCAATTTTGAAAGAAAAAAAGTACTTTGAGAAATTAAGATATTAAGATACCGTAGTTTTGTAACTGCACATGTTCATGTACTGGACATTATCTGTCTCATTTTTTTTCTTAGTCTAAACTTATGCAAATACATGGAATTCTTTTTAGCATGATGTGTAGCTATGCTTTGTTTTTTTCTACAAAGCTGAGCAACTGCCATAAATAATAGTGTTGGCTGTCAATTGCAGTGTATTGCCATAATACTTAATTCTTGAAACAATGAAACAAACTTTATCATAAAACGTTACAGTGAAACCTTACCAGTAGATAGCACCAATGAAACATGAAGCTTGGATACAGATACCTGTTTTAATGTAGATTACATTGTATATGATTGCAAGATCAAAACAATGAAAGACAATCAAATTTGTACTAAGAAGAAAACGTCTGTTTTTCATAGTCTTTTTAATAAGATTTTGAGGATTTTAAAAATGAAATTAAGTTCAAGCCTTTGAATCAGACTGGTTGATAGCTGAAGGTTTTCTTCCCATCTAACTCTAAAATCAAAGCCAATATGCCACTTATTAAATTTATTCCCCTCATTCTTTCTATTCAGCAGCAGCAAAGGAAATCACGAGGTAAATGACAGTTCTGAAACTGATATAGCAGCATGTAATTAAACTGAGGCATGAAAAACACACAATGATTGTGTATTAAGGGAAAAGTTACTGAAATGGTTTTGGGGAAGTAGCTGCAGGTTTGAAAGAAGAGCATTTCTGAATTTTATGGAAATTATTAAAACCTTTTTTTGCTTGTTTGTTTGCTTTTTTCCCCCACAATACTTCAATAGAATAAAGGTAAACAAATTTACTTTTAAATTTCAGCTGTAATATAAGTTTGGATCAGAATTGCCCAGGATGCCTAGATAAAATCAGTTATAAAAAAAAATACGTGTTTCATCTGCTGTGTAATGTATGTATGCATTTATACGAGGGAGTGATAACTGGCCATACTTTGTTTATGTTGTACACATACAACATAAAGCTTACTCCAGGCAAGCTTTTCAAGTCTGGATTAAATTCATTTCCAGACAGAATGCCTGACTTCAGCAAGAGGTGCTGTTATTCACTCATCCATGTTTTCCTGCAAGTGTGGCCACGTAATACAAACACTGTGTTCATCTGGATAGAGAAAATCTGCCACCACATTCTGGCTTTAAAATGTACTGATAAGCTGCACACCAATAAAATCATTCAGTTAAGAATCCTCAGAACAAGGAAATCCATGCTGTGAATTAAAGGACAGATTTCATGTGCCAGAGAGCTGGCTGTCCACAGGCTTCTTGTTTACTTCATGCTTGGCTCTGCACAGGATGGTTCCACCTAGCTACAAAATCAAATCTATTACTGTGGGGCCAGCCCTAACTGGTGATGGAAG